GTGAGGGCAGGGGTCAGGGTCCCCATCCTGCAGTGCGCAGGTTGGCCCCACAGTGAACTGAAGAGCTCAGATGTCCACAGCACCCCCCTGCCCTGGGCCAGGGTTCCAGACCCCTCTCTTTTGCAGCCTTTTTTGGTTGCTTCAGCTTTAATCATCATTGTCTGCCTTCCTCTCATCTGCCTCTTTCTCACCACGTGTAACCCTCTCTTCTGGTGTTGGTGTTTTTGGCTTTTGTCAATACCAGGCCCCTCCCTGCGCTCCAGGGCCCCATTTTCTGCATAGTGCTGGGCGCGTGACGCCCCACACAGCCAATTACCTGCCAGGCAGCCGGAGACCGTAAAGGCAGATGTGCTGTTGGCAGAGCTATTGAAGTCCACCACCTTGCAGGTGGGATCTTCTGCAGGTCAGGTGGGAGCACTCCTCCCTCTGCACCACACAGATGTTTGTCCCCCTACACACACACTCATCTGTCACCCGGAGGCCCTGGGAAGGCCCAGAGGAGCCCTGGGTGGACAGGATACTGAGCTGGACTCCAGATGCCACCAGCGAGGTTGGAGGCCCCCCACTCCGCCTCTTTCCTTCCCACCCACCTAGGTATGAAACCAACCACCCTTTCTAGGTCTGTGGATGCCCCTGGCCGCAAGTGGGCCAGGGAAACCTTTCCTCTGAGGTCAAGCCAAATCTGGGGTTTGAGAAACGGCCTGTGTGCGGTTCTGCTCTCCGGTGAATACCTGAAATGTGATGGTGTTGTCCTTGAGGTGACATTGAGGAGCCTTGGGCAGTTGAGAAGAGCGGGAGGGCAGGTGCCGCCTGCTGGAGCTGCATTCACACATTGTCGCCCTTGCCCGCTCGCCACAGGTGGCTTTTGTGGTTGGTCCTTGTGGAACAGCGTGAAAGGGTGGGGTGCAGGCACCCAGAGAACCTCCTGTGACCTTTTCCTTCTGACTCAGGGAACATCCCTGCCCTACAGACAGCGCACACGTACACGTCCTCAGGGACCGGCAGACCAGGGTCAAGACCTCTTTTCCGATTCCACTCTTCGCCTTCTCCTTACACAGTCAGAAAATTGGGGACCCGAGGAGGAGGAGTTCGACTGCAGTGTCCTGGGTTGGGGACAACACGTGAAGTTGTCCGTCTGTGGGAGCTGAGCGGCAGAAGTCAGTCTTAGATCAGAAACTTCCAGTCTTACCATGGGATTTGAGACTCATGCTGAGAGGTGAAATGCAAGTGTTAGTCACACACACATGTCTTTGTTTTTGCTGCTTCTGTGTCTGCCAGCTCACCGGCCAAGGGAGGGTCACCTTTAAAGACCCCAGGGAGGAGAACTTCCCTATTGGCCTTGGGGTGGGCGTGCTGAGGCCAGGGTAAGGTCCGCCCTGGTTGGCTGGCTTCTGTGGCCAGCAGCACAGGTGCTGTAAGAGTCTGTGAACATGGACTAGTTGTCAAGTTGTGTTATTTGGAAAGTCAGCTTGCGAAGCAGATGGCTCTGCTGCTGACTAGCGGAGGATTCCTTTGAATAGGGCTTATCAGCTCTCCTAAGGCTTGTGAAGTAATAACAATATTCACATGGAGGATGTTCAGAGGCAGCCAGAAATGGCCCTGGACTGAGTCAGGGAGGGCGGCCAAAGGAGCTCATACACTTGGGCGGGGAGAGGAGCCAGCTGCTGAGGGAGGAAGCCGGTGGGTCAGGCTGTCTTGGAACCTGTGCCTCCTTCCTCCCTGTAGGAGTCCCTGCCTGCGGGGGG